CCGGGTCACCCCTGAGCCTCCTTTTCTCCAGGCTGAGCTCCCATATCTCCCTTGGTCTCTTCTCATCAGACTTGTGCTCTGGACCCTTCCACATCTGTGTTCCCTTCTCTGGACATACTCCAGAGGATCTCAAACGGCTTCTACAAACTGTGAAAATGTAAGTGAACAAAGAACTGAATCCCCACTCCTAAATCTCCCTGATAATTGGAAGCAAGATACATGATTCATGTGCAGAATTTATAATTTGGATGTCTAAACGCTAGTCTTAGTCAAGCAGAGTACCCATAATCTCTGCTCTTTTTGATATACCTAAAGTCAAAATGCTTTACACCAAAAGTGATTATTAATCTCTTAATAATGCAAATAATGCCATCAGAAAGCAAAAAAATGAAAAATAAAACCGCAAGTTTAAGAATATGGTTAAAAGGCATGCACCAGTATTCTTGTACATTGTTCATTTCTTGTTTTGAATAATGATGAATATGGAAAATAGAGGCAATATTGCTACATCCATATAATCACTGTGGATGCCCTTGGGAGGCAGTGCTTGAAGATAAATTGATCATTTTATGTGATTTTTTTATGCCATCTCAGATAAGGCCAATAAATATATGGAGACTGATGAATGAAAGAAAAAAAAAAAAGGAAATAAAAAAAGAGAACAAACAATTTTGAGGCTCAAATTCAGTTGTGACCTGCTCAGTCCAATCTAAATATTTATTTTCTGTATAAAAGAAGATAATGAAAATAAATTTAGGGATGGTCTACACATGAATTCATGTTTTATATAAGAGACAAAATGTTCTAGAAAATTTTTGTACGCTAAATATAAATGGCAATAGAACACATTTTGTGGCGAGATGCCTCTCTCCAGATCTAGCAGATGTGCCCCACCTTTGTCTTCTTTAATTTTTAATGATCTTGTTATTTTCTTTGCTTTATGCTTTTTCATTATTGTACCTTCAAACAGATACAATCTTTATATCACAGATTTTTTTAATATACATTATATAAACCTAGAATATTTTCAGCTATATTTTACATTTTATTTGTCTGAAATTTATCCTGCACTTCCAACATCTTATTAAAGATGAGTAAATGCATTTTATTTGATGCATTGGTGAATGCACCACTTCTTTAGGGAACCTCATGGAAATTCATGTGCTTAATGCTAGAGTGCTTTCCATCCCACACCCATTTCAATTAGAGTTTGACATTGACACAGCCTTAATGCCCTCAACTGCTCATTTGACACAATCTCATGCAGTGATATCTCACCAAAACAGGAAGCTGCTCTCACATCTCGTTTACATTATGCATTCATTTTATGATTAGTCACATGGTTAATGAGCACCTTGGAGTCTGTCCAGTTTCTGCTCTACGTCGTGTTTCCTTTCCTGACACTCCACTTGCATTAACTCTCTGTGATGTTGCCAAAGACTGTGCAGACTGTAAATTGCTCTTAGCCATTTGTTCCAGAAAATTATCACATCCACTGCCATTTGGAATTTATGCCCATTGTTGACTAGAATAAAATATTAAATGTGCACTAAAATAATTTTATTTTCACAAAGTGGTAAGCTCTGCTTTTTTTCTTACATGCATTTCTTACTTACATAGTATTCTAATTTTATCCTTCTGCTCCCCCTTTACTTACAAAAGTAGAATGTTTCTTTCTTAAAATTTTGAACTGCAATGCTTTTAGCAAACCTTAAATATGGCCATTATACCCATTTGATCTTGAAGTGGCATTAAACTAAAAGTGACAGCATTAAAATTAGCAATTCAGGTAGCATTTAACTTTTTAATCAATTTTACTCTACATTTTAAATGAAGGCTGACACATTTTTGTATTTATGTGCATTCAACACACATTAAATTCTCCAAAAGTCTAGGTATTCCTTTCATAAACCATACATATAGAGAGAAAAGACATGTAAATAATTCTAAATCTATCAACATAGCCCTTTCAAGATCAAAATTAACATGTTTGAAGTATACGTATGTATAACAAGCTTTTTCACAGGAATCCACAGAAATGAAAAACCACTGAAATTATTATTCCACTTTCATGCCAATGCTTAAAGTGGACTATGAAAAGTTAAAAATGACAAAGTGATTATTATTTTGGCAGCCCTAGGGTCATCAACAACTTGCCCTTAAAACTGAAAGTGACAGACTTCTAGGATTTCAGGGACAATGATGCTGTTTACAATGGTCCCTTTATTTCATTACCATCTATTTGCTTTATGAAAATTAATTAGAAAAAGTCCCATCAAGTGCAAGGAGGGACAGCATCAACTCTCTTTAAATCTTGTCTACATTTGCACAATTAAGAATCATGGTCACTGCCATCACAATTTCATACTATAGAAAATAAAAAGAATGTAATAGGTCATGCAAGAACATCAGGAAAAAAAGATTAGGTGGGTATTTAACAGAGTCTTATGTTTATGTTGAGCAAATGAGACAATCCACCTTATCTTAATGCTCAGCTGGAGAGCTGTAGTCACAATGGTTTGGTTAACAATGGAAATCTGTGGATTATCATTTAAACATATCATAGAGCTTTTTTTTCTGGACAAGATCACCCATTCAGTGACCTACACAGAAACCTCTGTTCCTTAAAATGCCCAGAGAAATAAAACTGCAGGTACACAGAACTAGACATTTTCAAAGAAGTACACAAAAAAAGTGAGGCCAGGTGCCCATAAAAGTTCAGGACAGCACATAGGTTCCATAAACAAGATAAAAATTCCTGAGGAATGGCAGAGGCCTGAAATGTATGGTACGGGAAAGGTAATAAACTGTTATCCAGAGAAATCAGGGATCTCAGAGAAAGAAAAAAAACTGTATTTAATTTTCTGCTTTGTCATTTATCCAGCCAGAATGAAGATTTCATATGTGGCCTGTTTTGTAATTTCTGCATCATCTGCTGCTGGGTTACAGTGAGAAACAAAACTCAGGCTAGAGACATCACTGCTCTGATCTTAGATGATGACTTCCCCATGACACAAAGCATCTGTGTCGATCTCCTCATAACTTTAGAGGAATAACCTTTTCTCCTGACATCAGCATAGTCTTGGCCCTGGAAGTGCTCGTTTTGGATCCCCTCATTTTCTTTAGGGTGATGGTCTAAATAGTAAAAATATCCTTCCAGCGGATGTATAACTAAACATGAGATTAATTCTATGAATTGAGACCAGTAGCTTAAAAGTAGTAAAAGCAATCTCAGCAGTATAAACTTTTCCAGTGGGCTGTCATTTGAAAATTATATGTTTGTTATTATAGACGTGACAGCAAGTGATTCCTTCTATGTGGTTTTTTTTTTGTTTTATGTACAATTTTAAGGGGTCATACAACAAATTCACCTAAGGAAAAACATGCATACTTAGCCCAAGATCATTCTCTTCTGTTTAGTATGTGTTTTAGAGCCCAAATAATAATAAGACTTTTTTCAGGATGTCCTCATCATGTTCTGAGTAAGAGTAGTGCTGAAGAGAAAAAACTTGTACTTCCAGTTTTGTATCTAGCCAGATGGGTGAGATGGAATTCAATAATTCCCTGTTCACTATACCCTCTCTTCTCTTCTTTAGTGTTGGTTTTACTCAGTAGAAACACTTTCTTACTCAAGGAGACCTTCATCCTGAGCAAGTTCTCAGGCATTCCTGCAGTATGTACTTAGAATGCATCATAAGCTTTCCTTCTCTTTATGATTATCTATTATTCATATTGTGGTGGTGTCTAGAGACTAATAAGCTAAGATTATGATGAGATACAATATAGGAATAAATACTGATGGCAGGTGGATAGCTAATAATAGGAATGGATGTATGTACATAACTTAGAGATGTCGATAACTAATAATGTCCCTCTTTTCCAATTAGATTTAATTTTGGGTTTTTTTCCCTGAGAAAAGCAAATGAATTTGTAACAATTCCAGAGTAGTTTTGCCTTCTTTAGAGATTACATATCCCATTAATATTTTGCAATTTTTTTAACAGCTATAAAATTACTAGTGACATGAAGAGTTTACACATTTTGTCATTATTGAAGTCACAGCCATTTACCAAGACTTAAAATCCAGGAAATGTGTAATACTATAGAAATAAAAAATATAAAGAAAAGCTGCCCTTGTGTGCTCTGTGTAGTGATATAGTAATTTTTCAGAAGTTAAAGGTGAGTTTGAAATACTTGAAAATTTCAAAGAAAACAAAAAGTTTTTTGTCTGAGATTAATTGATTTCTCTTTTTTCCTGCAGTGAAATTTTTGTAAATGTAGATGGTTTTAATGCCTTCTCCACATATTGGACCCAGATTCTGCCAACTTTTCCTCATTATAATTAAATATCGTGCATGGATAGTGGGTATAAATGCAAGTGTAAGTAAAACTAAGTAATAAAGGCACTCTTAAATGAATAAACATGCAGTTCTGACAGTCACTCAGCATTTAAAGTTTATTTCAGATAAAAAACAATATTGTCATAAAGCATAAAGTAGATGTGTGTGAATTTCTATATTCACAAGTTTATAAAGTAGGTAAACTCAATGAAGTTAGTAGTGTGTGTAATCCCAGAGCACAACTTTATTAAATTAAATAGTCATTTGATGTTCCTAGAGAAGGTCAGCTAAGACTTTAATACTTGGAAATAGCGCTAAAAAACCAGACAAACAAATCCCACTCCAGGTTGGAGTTGGGTTTAAAATTCTTTAATAATTTTGTTTCATGATCTGTAGTTATAAATGCATTACATTAATGGTTACAATGTGTGAATGCAGAACCCTGTTTTTGAAAAAGATTTTGTATAAAGAACAACAGGAAGAAATATTGATGGTAAGACAATGACACAACTCAATTGTCATCACAAAATTAAGGTGCAATCTAAAGTTTGCAAATCTTGCTTCTATTAAGGGCCTTTTAGAGGAAGCTTCTCACTGTCTTACAGTTTCACACAGGCAGAGAAACTGAAAGGGATGAAGGGGAGAAAAGCCAGTACTCACCTATAGTTGGGTCATGGTAGTCAGGGAACCGATGACTAATGAACTGCATTGTCATTGCTGTAGTGAAAAAGAGAGAGAGGGCAGAAAAAATAATTATATCACCACCATTAAATAGAAACAGCCAGAAGAACACATGGACAACTCACTTATGCAAATATCAGATCAGATTGTGAGCCCAATTTTTTTCTATGTCTACTTCTGCAACAATGCGTTGGCTCTGCATTGATAACTCAGAACTGATAAATGAAGAAAAATATGAATTAAATATCTTTAATTGTCTTAATTTCCAAACTTCATTGTACCACTCCTGTGTTAAGATCTTACATACTTTTAGCACTTGGTAAATACTGTTAATCTGATATAGCATACAGATGAAAATTGCCATGGCAAAAACATAAAACATGACTTATAAGACTGATTCATAAGGGTTTTCACAGTGCTAACTAACTAACTAATGCCACTAACTGGAGTGCCTAATTTGATTTCTGGTGTATTTAGTGATACCTAATTCATCAAATTTGATGCAACAGATGAAGGCTTCTCTTAACCACCCAGAGAACCTTTCTTTTGAAGAGACTGTTTTATGACTGACTATTAGCTGCTTTCAGAAATTTTATAAAAATTACATGAGACTTCAGGAAAACTGCATTCTGGCATTTGAAACAGGTGGCAAGCTGGAAGTAAAATTCCAATTTATGCAGAAAGACATAAACTTTCATATCCTTTCCAATTTGACATCTGAAGTTCAGTGGCCTTGAAAAACCATGAAGGTAAACTTGAGTATTCAGTGACTACAGTAACATCATCAGCATTTGGAAGAACTTGGGAAGTTACATTTTCTTTGTTGTTTTTTCCTCATAAGTTTGAATTTCAAAAAATTTGAAAAAAAATGTATCTCCCAAACAATGACAGTTGTAAATAAAAGCCTTTCAAAAGTTAAATATGTGAATTCTAATTAAATAAAAGGGGGAAAAAGATAGGGTCAAAGAGAAATTTTAAATACTGCTTGATTTTTAAACCATTTTTTTTCCATTTTTTTTCTGGCATTAAAATTCACCTACCACTACTATATAGATAGTTATTAAAAAAAGTAGCCTACTTGAAACATAAATATCAGTTATAACACATGAAATCCAAGATGAAATTTTGTCATGTCTTGAACATCTCAGCTAGTTTCAACAACATGCATGACTGCAGTTATGAATAAGATGTGAGCCACTGTAAAAGTCTGTATATAAATACATCGACTTTTCAAACAGCATTGTTTTAGTTTCATGCTTCTCCTTCTCATATTTTCAAGAAGCAGAGGATAGGGAGATAGTTTTTTAAAAAAGATAAAGAGAAGAAGAATTAAACATTTATTAGCATGTTAATAAATTATTGCATCTTTAGTGTAGACAAATATAAATGCTAAGAAGCAGCATTATAAATGCATAGATACCCAGAGAGGGTAACTGTGTAAGAAAAAGCTCATTCAGTCCATGTATATTATATAACAATAAATCTATGTGCAGCCACACTTATGTCTTCTGTGTTATCTGTTTTCAGATGCAGTACTTTTAAGCACTATACATGTGTGACACTTTTATTTCCAGGAGAGACACCTGTTTGGTTTTTTTTTTTAATCGTGACAGATTTTTAGCCACCTCCATTCTGAAGGCTGTTAGTGGCTTATGAAGAGCAAATTCATGCCTGATGTGATCTGCCTACTTTGCTCTTAGGAGCTGAGGCAGCTAGCAGAGATGCTGTTCATATGGTTTATGCCTACACATTTCCAGATTTCTGAGGCCCTGTACCACAAATTAATTCAATTTGCTTCACTACTTGCTGCTTTTTCTTGCCAAGCATTTTTTTTTTTTTTTTTTAAAAATCACCCCAAACTATTCGGCATCTGATCTCATTCTGTTTCCTTCTGGAGCTATGCCTGCATCACAAAATCTGTAGTTATAATTGAAAAAAAAATTCTCATATGACAGGCAGAATTCATGGTAAATGTTTTTCCTCTCACCTGAGACAGCCACAAGTCAATAGATCATTTATATCCTCATCAAATTCACAGGATTCAGGAAGACTGAAATAATCATGACTGAAAGAATCATGTTGTACTAAATATCAAATTTTTTGTTGTGGCACGCAAAAATGGAAGTGTTCCAAAGGCATGTGACTGTGAGGACATGGTTTAGTAGAGGTCTTTACAGTTTTGGGTTAATGGCTGGACTTGGGGATCTCAGAGAACTTTTCCAATCTGAATGGTTCTATGTTTCCATGATTGTATATGAAATGAATCTGGAGAGGTACAGAATTTGAGAGAGGTGTCAAGAGAAGCACTCAAAGTAATGAAATGAGAAGGCCTTACATTCATCTCCTTGGGAAAATGATTAATCAAATCTCCCTTCTTTATTCATTTTGTCCCAGTTTCTTCCCTGACAACCCTTTGTCACACACACCTTCTAATCACCAGTGGAAGGAACTTCTTTGTCCTCTTTAGTCTTTGTCACCTCTCACCTAGGGACGTAACACTCTCTCCCAGGAGGAGGATACAGAAAAAATTGAGGTACACTGATATTTTTAATCACTGAATTACAATGCAAGATAAGGGAATTGGTATATATAGGTAGTGGGAATTGCAATCCATCTTCTTCTGTGTGCTCTTTAAGATAAAAATCTACATTTTCTGCTATACCCAACTTCAGAAAGTATTTTTAGAGCAGGCATAGCTGGTCACTGATTTGTAGTTACAAAAATATAAGTTCCTTATACCGGGAGGATGAAGGACATAGAAACCTCCAAACATCTAATGTTTAACAATTTTACAAGGCATTCCAGAGACTTGGCTGCAGGATGTGCAGAAATTAGTTCTGAATGATGGCTGAAGATTGGTGAAGTGCTTCCCAGAGGAAAAGGACCTTCAATCACCACTGGCATGAAACCATGAAGCTCAGCTGGAAACTTGGGAATTAGACCTACCCTATCTGGGCTCCCCAGCAGGACACCTGCCTCAGCTGGAATATGCTGGCTTCTTCATTGCTACTAACATCAGCTCCAAAGTAATTTTCCAAAGTGAATTAATTTTGAAAACTAACAGAAAAATGGTATTGGTATTTCATGCTGTGTGTTGAAAATATTCTCCTTGGTTCCATGGTTTTCCTCATCCATTACCTTTTTTTCCCATATAAGTTAACACTCACACCTAACAAATTCAAACTGTCATTGATTATTGTGTGAAATTTTCCCTTTGGAAATCCAAATTATACTACACTAAATTTTTACAGGTCTATAAATTAGGGACACTTGGCTGATTTATGCTACACACAAAGTAAGAAATGTGGCTTTAAAGCAGAATTTGAAAATAGAATAAATTTGTAAGACTGATTCTTAAATAAATACACATACATGTAAAAAAATCAGTTAAGAAATGGTTAAAAAAACAAATTAAACCAAGCAAAACCCTTTTAATCCATAGCAGATATTGTGAAACATTTTGAATTGCAAGTTGTCTGAAAATTTTTAATGAATATTTTATGACACTGTGAAGATCATTTCATTTAAATGGGACATGTACATCACACAGAAGCTATGATAAGTAAAAGGATCATTGTTTCAGATGAATAGAATCTACTTTATATCCATCTGTGGCTAAGAAAATGCAGGTTGCCCCAGCTGAGCAAATGTATGCCTGACATGCATGAGTAACTATGCAACTTTAAAGTTTTCTTGTCTTTTTAAAACAAGAAAGGGTTTCAGATCCTTCAGATCAAATCCTTCAGATTTTTTTTCCCAAACATTCTCATACAATGTTTATTAACTATCTAAGAGGCTGTACATTATACCTATGCTGACATAGAAATATATATGTTCTCTTGAAATGATAAATTTAGTTCTGTCTTCTATTTTCAATATAATTATAACTATTAAAAAATATTCTAAACCTTAAAAATATTTTATTATCCACTGAGTAGAAAATGCCATGCTTAGAAAAAGGCTGGGGTCACATATTTATTCTGAAGTATCCTTTCAACCAGTACAGCAATAACAAAATTCATCTAAAGAAAGTATTAATCTTAAAAGCATGTATGTGTGAGTAGGTTCACAAGTCAACAGGAAAAATATTTTGATACTTGTACAACTGTGAAAACAGATAGAATAGAATCCCACTCTTCTAGTTTCTTATAAATTTTATTTGTACCAAAAACTTTGAAAGATGTCCTATGTCTATTTTTCAAGGTTGGAAAAAGCTTATACAATATTTGTTATGCTAAGAGTATCCCTGATGTGAATATCTCATTCTTTCTGTCTCATTTTATTCACCCAAGAGCTTCCACATTTTGCTGCTCTCCTGGGTGATGGTGTGATGGTATAATAAATCTGTTTCAAATAGAATCTTTACCCTCATCACAAAATCCTGCACTTTAACAAATTATCACAATATTTTTATCTCAGAGACTGGTGATTCCATAGGGTTGATTCACGTAATTTTAATTCAGATCCATCTTTCTAGTGTATCCTTAACTTGTGTTTTTTATAAATATTGAGGTTTAAATGAGAACAGTATAGAAGATGGACATTAAAAAAATATAATATGGTTAAGTGAGTGGATTTGAGATTACTTCATGAAGTTCATGAAAAAAGAAGAAAGCAAATAGATATTTTTAGAATAGAGAAGGTGGCAAAGAAACTACAGTCTAAAAACAAAGAGTGCATCATAGGAAGAGACATTGTCATGGAAAAAGAAGAAATAAATATGTTTTATTAAAAAATTTAACATGCAACCTTGCTTCTGTCTATACATAACATTAAATAACTTTCTAAAACATGATCATGGCAAGTTGGATATACTGCATTTTATTATTTAATAAATCATTTGCATATTTATAAATTTATGCACGTTGTATTTTATCAAAATTAGACTATTTCAATAACTAGGAAAGCATTATATTGCTATTCTTTTATTTCTGAAATACTAAAGATTTTGAACAATTCTGGTCTTTCTGGTGGTTTCATACCCATAAGACCTTAGGAGTCATCTTCTAAAATGTATTGAAAAGTTCATGCCTGAA